CACTGACACCACAGACACCACTGACACCACAGACACCACTGACACCAGACACCACTGACACCACTGACACCACAGACATCCAACTGGATCTGCTGTGGCAGCTGAGCTGCGCTGTGATTGGTTATCGATGAACCTGTTTGACCTATTGACCTGTTGTTTTCCAGATCGGACGATCATTTCTGTCCCTCCAACCGACCTACGGGTCATCAAAGGAACTACAGCCACTCTGCTCTGCAACGCTACACACGACCCCAGAGTCAACGTCAGGTCAGCCTCCTCACCGCTGCCCCCCCCTGGTCCAACACGTCCCTGTGCTGTCACGTCATACCGTCACTGTTGTCGTTGTCGTTGCAGCTTCAGGTGGGACCGCAGCGGCGTGACCGTCCCTCCGTCCAGTGTCGGCCGCGTGTCCGTCCGCCGGGGCACTCTGACTATTGGCCAGACGTGGTCAGGTGACATCGGCGATTACACCTGCACCGTGACATCACAGGCCGGGAATGACTCCAGCTCCGCACGCCTGGAAGTCATGTGAGTTAGAGAGTGGTTTTACAGCTGCTACGACCAGGATGTCAGGAGAGGTTTTTAAATCTGGAAGTCTAAGAACGTCCACTGGTTCTGACTGTTTGGATTAAACTGGATTAAACTGGATTAAACTGGTAAACATAGGCTGAAGAAACTGAACTTTTTGAATTAGGACGATTGGACAAAGAAGAAAACCCTGCTGATAATTTTCTGTTTACGTTTGTGTTTAACGTGCAGCGGCCGCGGAGAAAACGAAGTCGTTCAATTTAAATTGCAGATATTTTATTTCAGATGTTGATTGACTCGACTGAAGATGGAGGAGCAGCAGCTCACAGGTGATTTGGCGCTCTGCCAAAGGGAGGGTTATTAGTGTCGGCTTATTTCACTGTCGCCTGATGAAATAATTGCGTTTTTTTTTTTTCAATATTAACCATTTTTCCATCAGGGAACAAAGACTTTCTAAAACAAATCAAATTTAATATCATTTAATAGTCGTGAGGAACCAGGTTCAACCTGTTAGCAGGGTCGAACCTCTAGGTTTTATTATTATTATTATTATTATTAATAATAATAATATTATTATTATTGTTGTTGTTGTTGTTATTATTATTATTTTCAATCACTCATATCCCCTGTATTGTCTGCAAGAATCAAGGTCTGGAAGAAACATTCATGTTTGGTAATACTGTGCAAAAAAAAA